GGGCTGGAAGTGTTGGCCTTGCTAGTGAGGGTCGCAGGTTTGTCAACATGTGTCGAGAGTCTAACTTAAGGTGTACAAGTGTGGCTATTCGGAGACCTGTCCCTAAACATACACAAGCCACGCTTCGCAAATAGCTGCTGCAAGATTGTTCATGATCAAAGGTTTGGGCTGTGGCTATGGGTTTCGGCTGACTTGTGGGCGTGTCTTCTTTTCGCTGTTCAAGAGCAGTCCTCCCTCCTTTTGCTGTGGCTTTCGCCGGACGGTCGGGCTCCGCATCCCCAACCGCGACCACAACTGAGACACTTCGAAGGCATTTCGAAGGACTGACGAATGCAGTCTTCGTATCCTACTTGGAGGAAATGGTAGAAACCCAAAGCCTTAATCCTGAAGAGTAATGCCTAGGGATTCCCAGCACTATTTGTCCTCAATCCGGTTTTTAACTTTTATGGGGTGTTACTTACTGAGTCCCCGGGGCCTCTTAGGTTTGTATACTTATCATAATCTACTTACTAACTCCCCTGGGCCTATAAGATATGCGTTGCTTCGGAAAGCCCTGATCGAATCCATCAGCCCGGCCGATCGGCCTTGAGATGCGCTTGCCTGCGGAGGCCCAGGCGCTCCGTGATAAGGGAACTATAGGGTGTCCCTTAAGGGCTCCTTTAAAAGGACCTGAGAAGGTTCCCTTTAAAGAAGCCCTGCGGAAGCCCTCAAGGGGTCCCATGGAACAGGGAGCTTTTTGGGATCCTGCCAGCTGGTGTCTACATTCGCATCTCGGAAACCCCAATGTAAGGCTGGATTGCATCTTTCTTCGGAAACCGGGGCGTGAGAGAAAAGACAAGTTCAATCTTTTCGCGAAGAAGGTACGGGAGCTAAGTGGGCTCACGGGTACAATCCATGCCGATCACGGGGGCTCCCCGGAAATTTTTGGGAACCTCATGCCTTGGAACTGCATGGTGGCCACTCCCGGAAAATGCGGGCCTAACAGCGCAGAATGGGAAAGGACGTTATCGTCCTGCTTTTGAACTATTTGAGGCTGGAGCTCGCGGGGGTGACATGCCGCTGAGCACTTTCTATGCAAGGCATGGGTTCGTCCATCTGAGGCGGCAGATGCACGGCTAGCAACCTGCTATAAATCAGGCAGTTCCACATCAAACCCCTAAGCCCCAAGCCTTACAACCCCTAAGTTTTCAAGCACCTAATTGTATAAACTCTCAACTAGGATACCCAGTAACCTAAGAATAAAAAGGCCTCTCTTTTTGGTATTGGGTAACTTTATAAGGAACCTAGGACTACAAAAAGGGAATAAGGGTACTACTGGGCATCCTAGTCAAGCTTCCAAACCCCGAAGCTCAAGATCCGATCTTGAGCCACGGGGCCCCTGAGCAGGCTTCATCCCACCAGAGTAGAAGGCAAGGAGAACCTCAGGGCCATCGTTCGGCTTCCGCTTGAACGGTTGTGCGACGCGTTCAACAATAACACAGGGTTTCTGAGGTTTTGCAGGGTTTCGGCATAGGGGCGTCGAATAATTAGAATAATGTCTTGGGTCCCCATAAGCAAGAAAGAGCTTGGTCTCATAGCAACAGACATCAGGACAGCCGCGGTGGAGACTGAGGGCGCAGGAAGGTATGGTGCTGGCCTGTGAATTTCGGAGTAGGAAGCGCTCCCGGGAAATATCAAAACGTTTCGCCACTTTTGGGGGCCCATCTGCTGGCTTGGAGATGCTGCTTCCGCGACGGAATGGTTGGAGCTACTCCCAGTCTCTCAGTGCTAAACCATCAACCGAGCATCTGAGCATGCATATATGCGTATATGTGTATACCAAGATTCTTAAGTTAAGTCACTCCGTGCTTCTGTGTCTTGGCACATTGCGACGAAGAGGTTTGAGGCCTAGGATTCCGCAGGCTTGGGGCAAGCCTCTTGTGACCCAAACCCTGAAACAAAAACAGGAGGTGCTAAAACCCGAAGCCTAAACCCTCGACACCCCTGGACACCCCAAGCCCCAACCCCAACGTCCAGAGGCTAAACTTTATACCGACATCATCGGGGACTCGGCCGGCGTCGGGTCCTTCCGGACGGCCAGAACCTGCAGATTGTAGATCGCTTCGATCAAAAAGGTCTTCAGGGGTTGAGGTTCGTATTCAGGGGGTTTAGGGTTTCGGGTTTAGGGGTTGAAGATGGTTGAGGGCTTGAGGCTTAGGAGTGTAGGGTTGGTTACGGCAGTTTCTTGCAGAAGGATTGCCAATCCGTTCGTTGGCTTCAGCCCGAAGTGCAGCATCAACCAATTACCCGGGTAGGATTCCAAACAGCGCCAAGCCTCCGACAGACAGTAATCGAGTTTCCAGACATGCATCCCACGAACACCCATCTGATTGGCGCAGAAGTAATCCTTCCTTAAATTCCCTTGTAAAGGTAATCCCAATACTTGCAAGTTGCTTTGACTTGCCTCTCTGCCTGTTCAGAACGCGTGATATTCTCATGTCCCTCGGCTTGCAAATGGCCAGGCGTGTCTTGATAGATGGTCGTAGGCATGCTGAAGCCGGGCTCAAGTTCGAAGTACAGACCATAAACCCTAAACTCCCAAAGCAGAGCATGCATGGCCCAAAGCCTTGAACCCTGTGCATTACACAAGTTATGCCCTTCCTGATAATCTTTGGCAGGATGGGTTCCAGGTCAGACATTCGTGGAATCAGGCTACCCGCAAGAGGGGCAAATCCCAAGATCAGGTCGAAGGCGGCAACAAAAATCCTTCTGATCTTGGCCCTACATTGCCTACAGAAACCTTGTAGGCCCTTTTTTTTTCAACTGGGCTGCTGCGACTCGGTCACCCTAAACCCTGAACCCCTCAACCCTAAACCCCAAACCCCCGAAGCAGACCCAGGTTCGTCAACACTCCTTTTCCGAGTCGCCACTTGGGAGTTTCCGACAACTAGGGTTACCTGATGTGGGTCCTGATAATAAGGATCCTACTATTTAGGGAACTATAGAATATAGGGGTCCCCTATTTTTCGAAACACCTACGGTTGATGATATAAATCCTGCATGACCCATAATAAGGAATATACCATAATTCCCCAGTTTAAAGTCCTTAAGTTAATGCAGGATTTGTAACATCAGCCGTACTTCTAGGTGCGGATCCACAGATCCCGGAGGCAGCGACTCTCCACACTGTGTTGCTCTTGCGGAGGATAAACCACTTAGAGGCCCGGGGGACTTAGTAAGTAGGTTATCAGTAGGGTTATAAGTATCCTAAAAGGAGTTACCCCAATTATAACCCTGCTTATAATCTACCTACTAAGTCCCCTGGGCCTCCAAGCATGATCCGTTGCCATGAGCACGGCTAACCTTCTGAAAGCAACAAAGCAGCAAAGTAGCCGTAACATGCGATAACCCAAACCCTCAGCCCTAAATTGTAAAGTTCGGCATAGCTGCACCAGAATTTAACCGGCCCACAGTGCTGCTGGGTGGGGGTCGGAGCTCCCTTAGGAGCTCCCGAATGACAGCTCAGCGCCATCACTCCGAGATCGTCTTCCTTACAGGCGCATCTGGCACGGCTTAACTCTGACCTGGAAGACCTACCCTAAGGGTCCATGTACCCAAATAGTATATACTTTGGGCCCAATGTACCCATATAGGGAATACTTTGAAGCCAATGTATATACTATGTAGGTACATGGACCCTTAGGGCTACATTTTCAGGGTTTCGGGTTGAGGGGGCTGGGGATGTCCAAGCAAAGCGGAGACCCAGAGACTCCAATATCCCTTAATTAAGGAATATACCCTAAATTATAGTAGGATCCCTAATATGATTTAAGGAATATTCCTTAATTAAGGGGTATTGGAGTCTCTGGGGACAGCGGGATGTGAGAGGATGCGAGATTCAGGGGTTTGGGGGCTGCAACTCTTCTTGAGTCCAAACAAGGTCACTGAATATTGAAGTCTTCCGGCGAGAACGGGAAAGCGGTGCTGGGCTAGATTGAGGCATTTAGACTATTATTTCCTTTGCAGCCAAAATATGACTTGCACAACGGCACTGTGATCACACAGTCCTACCAACTGATTCCGCTCCGCGTACTAGATATAGCGATGGGGCGCAGAGCTGAGGATCATCCATATACCTGAGGATCCTGAGCAAAGCTCGGTTAACATCATACATGCCCTGAAGCCTACCATCTTTGTTCAAGCCGCATGATACGATGACCTAAAGCGTCAGATCCTGCATCTATGCTGCAGAGATTACTAGAATCAAGACTGAACAGAAGCTCACGACTCTCAACACCCTTTTTTTGCGCAGGCGTGTTTCAATCCCGCCCTCGAAACCCTAAACCCTGAACTCCGAAGAACAGGCTCTCAGTGCAAGCAGGTGACAAAAGATGAAAATGCAAGACGACCACCTGCTCTGAGCGGAACTTGGATTGGTGTCTTGGGCCTGGTTGTTTACTTACTCCCCCAAGAAGCCACAGAAATAAAAGGTTAAACTTTCCAATTCCTACTAAACTATAAGAACCCAAAAGGTTTAAAGGTTGGGTATTGAGGATCTAGGTCAAAGGCTAGGATCTGGTGGTGCGGGCAAAGACTCTGCTTACAGAAACCGAAGCTTCAGAACTAATATGCATAATCATTAGAACCCTACGCATAACCCTAAGCCCTAAGCTCTCGTAAGTATGATTCTCTGACTCCCCCACGTTTGCAGGGCGGACCTTCCAAGACGGCTGGTAGGCTTGGTCGGGGTTCTGCTATAACGGCACAGGGTATAGGCCTGCAGGGCTTAGTTTTGCCTCCGGCCTGGCTAGGACGGGCCTGCAGTAGGTTCTGTGGCTTAGGGCCTTAACAAGGCAAAATGGAGCTCTTCTGCTATCTACTTCTGCTTCAGGGCATGATGCTCGGTTTGCTGCACGCCTGTATCTACGAAATTCCATAAGTCCTTGTTTATGATTCCGGGGGCAAGGCTCGCGATTTAGGAATTCCAGAAACGACGGGGCACTAACAAATGATAAAATACTTTACTGACAATCTGAAGATATCAGGATGCTTAAGCACTGAAAACGATGCCCCATACCCTTTGTCAGGCCACCTGTGTATCGAAACAAACCCTGAAATCGAATCACCTCGTCTTCGGGCAACACATCCGGGTAGAAGCGGAGCAACGCGCTCTGCAGCTCCGCTCCTTGTGTCATGCCTGACACGCGGGTCTACGGCTGTCGGGTTTCAGGCTTCAGGGCCCGGGGCTGTGCACCACATGTGAGAACAGGCCCGTGTCCGCTTTGCCTTGTAACTCAACCTCGCAGGCTTCATCTGGCGATGGTCTGTGTTGATACCAGGTGATTTGGACAGAGTCGGGCCCTGTTGCAACATGGACCCTGCCTAGAACTGACTGGAAGTGGATGCCATCTGATGCTAGCAGAATCTAGCAGAAGCCGCAGTCCTTTCTTTACTCGTAAGGTGCGGCGCTTCCGATGCAACAAAAGGCCCGTCTTACTTGGAAGCATAGTCCGAAACCGACACATCCGCGCCTTCAATCTGAGCCAGCTCGTCATCGACGTCTGCGAACTTTCCTGGTTCAGCGAACTGAAACACATTTCCAACAACATGCAGCAACCATTTCAAAGGCCCAAAATAATTGACTAGGGCATTCGGTCCCTGCCGCCAAGCAAGCGCTCACACCACAGAAACCCTTTGCATAACGCCCAACAGATCTGGACCACGAAGGACTGGACAAGCAGCTAGATCCCCTTCCTTTCTCTCCAGCAAAGGCACGTGTCTCAACGCGGTCGAACGCCAATAAGGCAAAGGCTTTGGCCTCTCGTCAGTCATGAGCGGCCCCAGCTTCTTTCGGGGTTCAGTGCATCTGATTCTTGGATCCTGCGGGGCCTTGAGGGCTTGGATGCTCAGCCCGATCCCCGAAAAAACCACAAACCTGAAAACCGTGAATCTCCCGACCAGGACACCCCCCGGCCCCGTCACCCCCTTCGACAAGAACAACCCTATACCCTAAACCCCTGAAGCCCTAACCCCTAAAGCCTAACCAAAACGCTTTCCCCTGAAGCCTAACCCGAATCTAACCCCTAAAGCCTACATGCTCACCAGGGAGATTCGAACACCTTCCAGGAAAACTCCAGCCTGGCAGACTGCCAAGGCCCAGCCCTGGACCATAATCGCCTCCAGATCCTCGGCTGGGCTATGGGTTAGGGGCTAGGGTTTAGGACTCCTTTAGTAAGTAAGGTCCCCTTTGAAAAGGAATCCTCTAAGAGTTCCAATAATACTAAGGGATCTACTAGGGGCCTTAAGAAGGTACACAAGACGCTGCAAAAGCTCTTGGTTTGGAAAGAGGGGTTGTGGTGCAGCACTCCCAAAGGGCTTTAAAGGGAGGGCCTTGTGGGGGTTTTGCAAGGGGTAAAAGCAGGGTTTTCCAAGTATTACACTGCTTTCATGCCATAGTGGCATTGGGGTTTCGGGCTTATGGATGGCTTAGGGTGTTGTGTATACTTAGCCTTCGACCCTCAATTCTAGCTCTATTACCACGGTCCTTGACCATGAATACGTCAACCAGAGCCACGCGTTACTACAATTCGGTTTCCGCTTTTGAGGTGTAGCTTAGAGACCTCAGTGTCCAACACCAGGGCCGGGGTTTTGGGTACAGACCGAGTTGACCTCTTTCGGGTTTACTAATAGTAATAGTGATAGTAATAGTAATAGTAATAAAGCCTTCCGACCTGTGGCAGTTCCACAACGATTGCCTGCTGGGTTCCCATTCGTCGTTCCGCCGCTGTGTGCAGCCAGGATGCGCTTGTCACGTCGGTATCTTTGGGGCCAGGACACCTCGTGGTCGCCTCCGCAAACAGAGAACCGTGGCCAGAGGAATGTCCATCTGCATAGGTATGTGTGCATGTACATGTAAACACACTCAGACACTCACTCGCTCGCGCGCCCACTCACTCACTCAGATGCATACACAAACATACAGAAACGAATACGTACATGGTCACAGCCCCCATGCCGAGTATGGAGCTGGCCTTGGCCAAGCTTGGGTTATGACGAGCATGCAGATGCCAAATCGGTACGTCTTTCTTGCCGACGAGTTGAGCTTTGGGGTTGAGCATCTGGAGCATATGGCCACGCATCCTCCATGAAGACATTCGGAACCACAAAACAAACAGGCTTCATGTTGGCGCGTCGTGAAGCGGTCCACATCACCCCAAGCCCTGCACAGTCTTCACCCAAACCCCTCAACCCCCTCTGGGTGCCTTCTTCTCCCCGCTCTGAATCACTTTGATAAAGTCTTCGGCGAAGTCCAGGTACGGGATGCGCACCTTGCAGTGCATTCGGTTTCTCATGCCAGCACGTTGTCCGATTTGGTTGGGATTTGAGTTGCGGAGGCCTGCTTCTCAGACTTCAAGATATCCGCATGAAACTAACATGGAACCTGAAAAGAGTTTGTACTGAACTTCTATCTTTCACCTACAATAGTGCTACAGTGCGGCCATCCTATGTTTCAGGCAGGCTAACGAACATGCAAAGAGCTTCACGGCGCCTTCCCCGCAGCAGCTGGCTCCATGCTCGCCATGCTATGCGAGTATCGTAGGGGAGCTGAGGGGTTAACTCTTGGGATTATAGTTATATAGGGGTTACGTACTCCAAAGAAAGTTTCTTGGGGAGCTAAAGGTTAGCTTTTGGGGTTGTATAGGGTTTACAGTTTAAGAGGTCGAAGGCTTCCAACCCTACTCCTATGTACCATCTTGGAAGTCTGAGCTCTCTTCTCACCACAAAGAAAGAGCCCAAGCCAGACCCTAAACCTAAAGCCTTGCAACATAACAGACCGAAAACGGTAGATCGTAAACCCTGAGTCCACAAAGGCCTTATGCTGAGTGCAAAGCCCGACATGCCAAGATGAAAAAGAGTTTGGGAAGACGGGGACCAGACTCCGCTTGAGTTTCACTACCTTTCGGCAGCATATCTCTGATAGGGTTTGGGGTATACCATGCTGCAACTAGAATGGGAACCGGCAGGAATCGTATTATCTCACAGGCTTTCGCACCAAAGTCGGTCGCCGGAAGCCTGCAGTTAGCCTTGAGGCTGATGAGCTTCGTGTCAAACGGAGCATAGTCTCCACTCCCGTCTGCTAGCGCTTAAGTTCCTGCTGAAGCTCTGAAGATTTCAAGCATTAACTTTGTCCCAGCAAAGAACAGACACACCCCTGCCCTAGAGTGCAGGCCCCGAGTTTTACTCGCGGGATAATTGACGGTACCTTTGCAGGCACACACCACAGTAAGCTTAGTGTAGGCCCTACACTCTCATACAAGAACTAAATCCTGAATCTCGAGCGCTACGCCCCAAACCCACATACACATCCGAAGCCCTGGGCCCGAAATGACAAACACTAGGGGACCCCATATCGACCAGCAAAGCTAGATCCTTAGTAGCAGACTCAAAACGTCAGCGCCCTTCCAAACCACAACCAACATGGTGTTGTTATGGAGTTGTATTCTATACCCAACAAAACATGCTTTCCATTAGCACTAAAGAAAAATTGAACCCCGAGAAACAAAGGCCTTGTCCTTCAGTTTGGTGCTGATCCATCCTTTCGGTTTGGAGGTGTCTGTTTTGCACAAGTCCTCATATTGTTTCTTTCCTAAGGGCTTCGGGCTTCAGGGGTTTAGGCTCTGAAGCTTTCAAATTTGGGGATTTCAGAGCAAGCCGATCCGCTGAATGATGCCCAAGTTCACAACTACCTCGATTGCAGAATCCTCTTCGCACTGGGATGGCAGAGCAAAGCGATCTGACTCAGCAAAAGAAGTTGGCTGCTGGCTTCTGTTGCCTGCGCTGCTCGTCGCGGATAGTTTGTGCAGATTTGTGCTTGGACTTAATCATCATCTGCTGCGGTCCCGCGATCGCTGCGGAAGTGGAGTGGACGTCAAGCGAAGCTTTGGAGTAATGCGTGTGCTTTGCGCCTAGGGTTTCGGGGCTTAGTGCGTTACTAGAGACTACTGTTGATGATATAAATCCTGCATTGCCCATAATAAGGAATATGCCACTATTCCCGATGCTTAAGGTAATGCAGGATTTATGTCATCAACAGTAAAAGATATAGAGTCTTGGGATTCTAACGTCATCTAGCTGGCAATCCTGATTTCAACCAGTGGAATACACCAATAACACAGGCAGTCGAGACCTGTAACACTCGAAACACCCGCAACTCTCCTCCCTTAGAACCACAATAGCAACAATATTCTTAATCTTCTCTTGGGTTTTAACATGAACAAAAAACTCTCCTGTATAGGCAAAAGACAAGAAACATCAAGGACTCCAACCACCAAAACTCCACATGCCCGCGCACACACACACACACACATTGCTTTTTGCGGTGCTGCTTGGTGCAAAACAAGCTTAACCTCTCAGTTATGTGGTGTATTTCAGGTTACGAACCTACCGGAAAACCATCGAACACCTTACACCCTGAGCCCATAAAGCTTGCCTAATATAGGGCCCTTAATAGTTTGAGGGCATGTCAATACTATATAATTAACAATTATGAATAAGGAGCCCCAAGATACTATTGGTCAATCTTGAGGCCCCTCTATTCCTCAGCTGCGAAGCACAAGAGTAGAAAACCATCAAACCCTAAAAGGAGTGGGTGGGTGGGAAGAGAATCCTTCGAACCCTAAAAGGACTGGGTGAGTGGGTGAAACCCTGAAACCCTAAAAGGAGAGGCCTTCTGAAGGACCAGTCCCAGAGAGTTTCCTGCGTGCCGTGGTGGACGCATGGTGGCGTGGGGGAGTCCAGAACCCTAAACCCTAAACCCTAAACCCTAAACCCTAAGCTTCCGAAGACCTAGGGCTCCTTGAAGGGATCTGTGATATGGATCTGGGAGTCTTACAAGAGCATGTGCATGAAGGCCCAATCTAGAATCTTGAGCTTTTTTTTGGCATTTTGTTGCAAGGGTATTTGCTCATTTGTTGCTTGCCCTGAAACTTCTAGCCGAGAGCAGCTCATGAGGAACTTCGGCACGAAACCGCTATTCCAAACTCGAAGCCGGAAGCCCGAACGGTGCAGACGCCAAGCTGCGAAGCCTGATGACCAACTCGCCGTGAACACAGAGAGCTGGCGAACATTAAATCCAGCTTACACCAGCGACCTCTATCTCCAAACCTCACACCCTGAAGAAGGGGCCTTAACAATTTGAGTCACGGGCCGGGGCCGGCACGTTTGAAGAAGCATCGTGTTGAAAGAATTGCGGAAACACACGTTTTGAGACTGCAATTTAAACAAAGATGTATGAAGGGCCTGAAAGGGAATATCGTCACGGATTGCTACATTCTTGCTTCTTAGTAATGTACTGCGGTTAAAGACAGATTTCAGACTTGCAAAACTCACCACACCCTGCAGTACCCCATAGTACATCTAGGAGTGCCCTTGTAGTCGCCCTCACAGTACATAGCCAGTACAGTAACCTCTGTCATTGTCAACTAGCGCGCTGACAGTACCTAACTAAGTTCGCATCCTAGGGAGAAGAAGTTCATGTTACGCCTCTAGGACGTTTGGGTCTTTACGGATCCAGTGTGATCTGAGCTTCCAACTGAGCGAGAACCGAAGGTTTCGAAGAACTAACAGGCAAAATCTCGGTCGTGGAGAGGGGATGGACACACGTCGACGCATCCCTCAACCAGAATCTGTAGCATCATCTTCAAGTTCTGTCAAGCCCTTATATGCTTTAGTGAGTATTTTTGTCCTGTTCAAAACAGTCTTACCTCTTCCAAAGTCGTCTTTCACGCGGGGCCGCAGAGTGAAGAGCACCCATCTCCCCTGCAAAGATTCGGGATCTCTGTACACTGTACAGCAGGGGTGGAAGCCGCGGCCAGCATCCTTGAGAAAAGGATGCCTCGCAGTACGGCTCAACTTGTGCTACCACGGTGCTTCTGCGTTGATCAGCTCCACACAAAGATTATGCCATACATCGCCTCGGACACATGCACCATCAGGGTGAGATACCGTCACAGGCGAATACAGCGCTGACCCACACTACCCGACTATATGATGCAGGGCTGCCACACCCCCCTCCCCCCACCCCACCCTATGGTATCCTCCCCCTTCCCCCCCGCCCCCTCTGTGGTGTGGGGCCTGTGGTGGTACTCTTTTTGCCCGTTCTTATGTGTTACTTTGTCTTCCCTCTTGCTGTGGCACCGGTGATACTGCTCATGATGTTGTGCTGCTCTAGACCGGGACGTGAGTCGACAATCAGACCATGCTCAACATCATCCTTGTCGTCGTCATCTTCATCATTCATACCATCAAAAGAATATCTGCCACCAGCACCATCGCCATACAACCCCCATAATTCAGCATTGCACTTCATGTCAGATGCTGGAAACTACTGCGCCGATTGCTGTTTTACGCAAACGGCAGGGCATAGTGCGACACCCCGATCCGCGCACCAGGTGAAGGGGCGGGCAGGTGCGGGCCGGGCCGGGGGGCGGGGCGGGCGGGCATGCAGCAGCAGGGCAGCATGGGGGATGCAGGGATACCATTGGGGGGGGAGGAGGGGGGGTGGTGGCCCGGGACCCGAGAGCATATATTTATATGTATATGAAGTAGATATGTATATATATATATATACATACATCTTTAAAAAGATTGGTATCCATCCGTGAAAACTTGCCTGTACTTCCTGCTGCCACGTCGGCTGGTTGGCACCGGCGGTTTTGTGCCCACCGGACGCTCGCTTTCCAGAAGCCCTTGCCGAGACAGTAGTCTGAGGTCTTAGGGGCTTTTGTTTGCCGCTGTCGGAGCTAGGGTCAAACCCTTTTTGAGCACGGACTTGGAGTGTATGCCTTGACCCTTTTCACCCTAAACGTGTGCCTCCAGAGTCTTCGGGTCCAGGGTCTTAGGTTTTGGGCTTTACCCTAAGGCCCAAAGCAGTTCCTTTTTGGGGTTCATATACAGAATCCTATAAGGTAATCCCAAAAAGGAACTACTTTGGGGCCTATGGGTAAGCTCGAAGATTTTCCTTTTTGTGGCTTGAGGTTCTGGGTCTTCAGGGGTTCAGGTTTAGGGTTTAGGGTCAGAATCCTTTCGGCGCTTTTGCGCGGCTTTTCGGGTTTCGTGTGTAAGGCTTGGGGGGATCAAGATACCCTTTTTGCCAGTGGGTTTGGGGCGAGCCAGATCCTTGCATCAAGATACCCTAAACCCGGAACCCTATGCTGTTCAGGGTCTTCGGGGTTTGCATTCTACGCAGTTGCATCACGCTCACCACGATCCAGGGGGGCATCCCCCGGCTCACACTTTACTCCCTGGTTCTTAGTAGGGAATGGGGGACTGGGTTCGAGGGACTACTATCAAGGGGTACCTTAGGGTTCCTTTAAAGGGTTACTACAAGGGTACTATAAGGGTTCCTGTATAGGGAAGGGGCTATCACAGGGATCAGTTCCCCCATTCCCTAAGAAGAACAAGGGAGTTTACCGACTTGCCTAAGTTGTAGGGCTTTTCTGTGCAGCCTCGAAAAGAAATCATGCGCTGGGGCTCAAGTTACGCAAATAGTAGGCTACTAAGTTAAAAGGTACGCCAGTATAACCCTAAACCCCTAAAAACCCTAAACCCCTAAACCCATATAAACCCTAAACCCACGTAAGCCCTATAAACCCCCAAACCCGAAGCCTCTACGTAACCCTATAACCCAAAACCCCAGAATCCCTATAAACCCTAGCTGCAAAGAAACCCTTACAGATCCGCATTATGGTAACTTATATACCCTAGCTGGAGCCCAAACCCAAAACCCCAAAGCCCCTATAAACCCCAAAATCCCATTCAACCCCTAGACCCTAAATCTCCTAACCCCAAAACCCCTGTAAGCTCTGGTTGGAGCCCTTGGGGGCTTCTCTGCGGTCCAAAGCGTCTCGCCAGCAAGGCGTCGAGACTGGGCTCTCGCGGCAGAGCTTCGGGCAGCTCCTCTTAACGCAGGTGCCCTTAGGGCTCCTTTAATGGGATCCTTTAAGGGTTCCTTTTAGGGATCTATAAGGGTTGTAAGGGTATTATTGGGACTTGAGGGTTCAGGGGTTTAGGGTTTAAGACTCCGAATACGCAATGATTCAAGTATTTATGACAATCCCTCAGAGTGCTAGTCTCACAAAAATCGAAACACATCCTCAAACAGAACACTAAAGATCACCGGAAGAGGGTGGAGCTTACGAGAGAGCTCAACACCCCGCAATTATGGGGAGTATATATCGAGTTCTGTGTGAGGCATAAACCCGAAGCCACCTCTTCACTTCAACAAGGCCAGGGCGCCTGTTTCAAAACCCCCAGTAACTGGGGGTTGCTGAATATTTTAGAACTACATTGCAGTAAACCGGATAAATTCTATGGGATGGCCCAAGAGTAGCAAGTACCCTTCTGAGAAGGCCCCACATCCTCGGAGAAGACAGTTAAACCCAGAAGTTTAGGAAACAAACGCCCAGAGAAATATCGGACAGACCCTCTGAAGCTGGCGGCCTTCATGGCTTGGGGATCTTCCGTTCCTAGGCCCTCAAAAAGGTAGGTAAAAGAATGGCCCGAAACCAAAAACATGGCTATTATCCTACATACTTTGGGGGTCCAGGTTAGGGTAGAATAATTACTTGGAGGGTCGGGGGACTTAGTAAGTAGTTATTTTGGGGGCTTGTAAGTATCCTAACCCCAACTAGGGTCCCTTCTAGGGTACTTATAAGTCTACTTACTACCTACTTACTAAGTCCCCCAAGTAGAAGCCCAAAAGTTGGAAACCGAATAGCCTGAATCCCTACGAGTAACGTAGAGGGAATCCCAGCACTATTTGGCCTCAATAGGGTTTCCAGCTTTGTGGGGTTTACTGAAAGGCTTCACCGGTCCAGGGGCTGTAACAGTTAGAGTAGGAGTATACTATATTCTTATAATATATGTATAAGAAGGACCCCAAAAATAGTATTAGGAGTATACTATATTCTTATAATATATGTATAAGAAGGACCCCAAAAACTAGTATTAGGAGTATACTATATTCTTATAGTATATGTATAAGAAGGACACCCAAAAAATAGTATTAGGAGTATACTATATTCTTATAATATATGTATAAGAAGGACCCCAAAAATAGTATTAGGAGTATACTATATTCTTATAGTATATGTATAAGAAGGACCCCCAAAAATAGTATTGGTAATTATTGGGCTCCTAAGTTAGCCTAGGGGCCTCTGGGTTTTGGTTTAGGGTGCCCGAACAAACACAAAAAGAGTCGTTTAGAATCTACCCGGACCCTCCTTATACCCTCAAATAGGGGTTTATGGTCCCACATTGCGGGTATAGAGGGTAGATGGAGGGTCTGGGTAGAGTCCCTTCTTGTAGACCATCCTCAGCTCGAAACGCGAAGTGCTTAAACTCAACATTGGCTTACGGTTCCTGGAGCAGGATTTACAGCCACTGTCTGATGGAGTGTGGGGCTCAAGGCTTAGTAGGGTTTAGCGTTTATCCGAGGAGATTTTAGCAAGGCATATGGCACAACACCCGAAGGAGGACACTCAAACTACACCCAAGAGGGTCCATATATACTACTACTATGGAGTTAGGCCCCCAAAGCCAAAATAGGGATGGCCGTCTGGGGCCTAATTCCAGAATGGTCGTTGTTTTTTAGGAGCCCTGTTGTATACACCGACCAAAACCCGAACTATGGCGTTATGGTCAGACTAGGTTTGGGCTGACTCTTCCTAAAGCATCTGTATGAACATACATGAAAAGTTAATGAGCTAGTACCACATGCATATTGGAGTTCAATACATACGTAAACACATGTATACATAAACACACTGTGTAAACAATGCAGAACAAGAGTTAAATGGAAGCCATGCACCAAGCAAGCACACACACAAAATCATAAACACATAAAATAAACACCAAAATAACCAAACAACCAACCACGCAAAGAAACAATCAAGCACGCATACAAACAGGTAAATATCAAAACAACTGAACAAACAAACAAAGAAATGCTTGATCAAATCAACCTATCTATCTATCTATCTGTCTATCCATCTATCTATCTATCTGTGTATCTCTCTTTATTGCAAAATGACGGAACATACTACACCAGAATGTGGCATACATGATGTAAGCTGCTATGCCACAGTGCAATAGAACATAACATACGTGATAGAATCCTAAAGCAATATGTTACGAGTATATGGCATTAGTCCACCATGCAATAATGTCCTATCTTATGGTTAAAATGTAAGCTAACATGTCATGTAATCTTTTATCTTAGACAATATGACACGAAGTGATATACAGACATACCATCAACCAACTATTCAGATCCATTTATTTCTCCAGCAACAAGATCCGTATGTAGATTTCCGGAAACCGCATCGGCCGACAAGGGTGGCAAGCTCCTCCAAGCGCTCAATCCTGGGAGGTGCTGCTACAGGACTCCAGAAACGGTTCTGTAAGGTTCTTTTTGAAGGCTTCGTAAAGACTCCAAAAACGGTTCTGTAATTTTTTTGAGGGCTTGGTAAAGACTCCAAAAACGGTTCTGTGAGGTTTTTTTTGAAGGCTTCGTAGAGACTCCAAAAACGGTTCTGTAAGGTTCTTTTTGAAGGCTTCGTAAAGACTCTAAAAACGGTTCTGTAGGGTTTTTGGAGGGCTTCGTAAAGACTCCAAAAACGGTTCTGTAAGGTTTCGTTGAGAGCTTCGTAAAGACTCCAAAAACGGTTCTGTCAGGTTTCTTTGGGGGCTTCGTAAAGACTCCGAAAACGGTTCTGTAAGGTTTCGTTGAGGGCTTCGTAAAGACTCCAAGCGCAGCGCGTGCGCGGAAGGTTCCGGCAACTACTGCTGTGGCGAGGTGTCTCTGATCATGAACGCCGCCAGTGCATCTGATGATCAAACCAAGTTAGTGCAACTCATGGTATGGGAACTAAAAATCACTGCAAGTGGTGTCGCAACATTGTGGTGCTGGCCTCTTGTGGGGGAATTTCGCGGAAAGGTTTCTTGTGAAGCAGTTTCGCGGACTTTGCGGAAGCATGGCCAAAACAAACTCTAGAAGGATGTCGAACATATTTTGCACACGTAGGAATATTAAGCCTGCAGTAGTTCCCGCATGTAGACTCGTCCCTTGATTCAGAAAATGTAGCTTCGGCCTGGCAATAAGCCAGAAGACGCCAATATGTTTTGATCCAAACGGCTGGGACAAAAAACTGTAAGGCTTATCAACTGACAGTCCGAAGAGGGCCGTGTCATGAAACCACTTGAAACCCAAACAACCCTAAACCCTAAACCCTAAACCTTATAAACCCTAAACCCTAAACCGTTCGCCGAACCACGTGGGCCCTCTGTGTCCGAACCGAACTTGAAGGACGAAACCTTGAACCTCAGGACCGGAGCCCCGCCAGTTTAGGCTATAACAGGAATGGTTTGATGAGGGGTTCGATATCCGGTGGTGTAACGCGAAATTATAATAGCTTCTTGGGAGTAGTTGAAGTTTGGTGAGCCTGTGGGGACATAATACCATGACATATCTGATCATGAGGACACCATTAGGCATCTACACCCTGTAGGACAAAGCCCAGTGTCAGTGTCTTGACCGTCGCCACCTCTTCCGCAGAGAAACCTCCCAATGCTTCGACCTGGAACCATGCGTTCGGGTTTGCTCTAGCAGGGCGTGCGCGGCGATCGAACTGCGCCTGGGAGACCTACGATCACATATTTTGGGACACGACAATAATTCCGTTCGCGGGTCTGTGTCGATTGATCATGACACGAAGTGACAAGAAGCGCCTTTCCACTTTTCTTTAAAGGACGTGTCCGGAACGCGACACGAAGAACAATAACAACTTCACAACCGCAGCATGAGCAAACGACTGCCGCAACAGAACAAGTAGAACTCAAGGGTTCGAAAACAAAAACAGCAGAGCAATGCACATGCGTCAATGTGTTAACTTGTCAACATACAAGAACCTAGCGCAGGACATTACCCACGATAAAGCATGCCGCTTTGCGCTTGTTTGATTATACACTTTCGTATAAAGACTACCCCTTCCCGTGATGGCATGCTTGTCTACTGGCCAAATTACCGCAGAACAGAGTACCGCCAGCTGAAGCAAACATGTTTTCTTCCGTGTTTCATCTTGGAGCCTGGACACACTGTTGTTCCCCCCGATGTTGCCAACTCTTCTGCAAGCACGCATCAGTCACGGTGCCCTACACCGGCTACGAATCGCATCCCCGGTACTCCTGTCCATCTTCGCAAAAGCCCACAATATTGCTTGTTGCATAAACCATACCTGCCGTCCTGGCCCCGACTTCCCTTGAAACCCCGCAAGATAGATTGCAGCAACTTCTTCCTTGGCTCATACATGAAACCCAAAGGCTCGGGGTCCTTGATGGTCATATACAGAAAAATAGGATTGGGTGGTGGTCTTGAAGCTGGGTTCTGCGTGCATGGTTCGCAGCTTAGTCGCAGCAGATGTCTTCGATACAGCAACACGAACCATTCCCCCAAAATGGTAAGCTGATGAAATCAAAAGGAACGAGAATGCTCAGGAAAAGGTCGTGAGTCCGGGAATTTTCAGATTTCAGCAATGAGAGGCAGCATAATCAAGCCTCGTGCTGCGAATCTTGCATTTGTACAACCTAAAACCCACAAGGCCAAACTCCCGCACAGGCTCAGTCCTGCAACATGAACCGCCAAAGCCGGGAACTCTAGCCGTCAGGTTTGGTGGTGAATGTGTGTTCCGAGCAGTTAGATCCGGCAGGAACCGAGGATATCTGGATTCAGGGGTTTGAACGACAAACCCAACGATTCTGCTTTACTTGCCATGTCTTTGGGATTTGCACCTTACCTGTCCGGACAAACTGTTTCAAACAGGAATCACCGACCGAAGCTTGCGGAACTGAGCTGAGATCTTCTCGTTCGGCGCGTTCTCATGCGGCTCCACGCAGTGGTCTCTTGGATCGGGGTTTCGCCGGTCTTACGGTAGCTTAGATTCTGCAGGTTCTTCATTCTTTGTGCGCAGCTCTCGGGGTAAGTAGCAGAAGACCATCACCAACTGTGTGTACCGGGCACTATAAACCCTAGACTCCCTAGACCCTGTGCCTTAAGCTTCAAACCTCAAAACCCAAGCCCTAAAGCCTTGAAATCTTCAACCCAACACCACACCACCTGAGGATTACTCCCTGTCCTAAAAACACCAAAACACGCCAAGAACATAAAGCTCCAGAGTGAGGATGAGTTAACAATTGAGTTAACAGAATGTTAACAAGGCACCGGCTTTAAGTCTTGAATGTCAAACCCCTCCCAAGCCACTTTTCGGCCCTGACAGGTGTAAGGCCATCCAGGACATGGAACAGCAGCTCTTGAGGGGGATTTCAATTTGGCATGGTGTGGAGTAGGGGTTATGGTGTTGGCATCTCCAACTGGCAGGCAATTTCAGAACCGAAATGGTGCAGAGGATGGCACCTGTGGCTATGCTGCTTTCGACACTGGGTTCAAAGTCAACGCTCAAGAACACGGCTACTGCTTGCCAGCAAGCATCTATGTTACAAGCTCCCACTCGGCAGCCGCAGCATGCTGGTCCCCGTTGGACAACTCTCAAATCTAGAAAACCCAGTTAGACCTTGTAGAACACCAAAGAGTCCCGTTAAAACCATATCCAATCCAATGAAGCAGCTTGAAAATGTAGAGCTTCGGGGTTGGAGAGTTCGGGGAGCTTGGGTTTACATGGAGATAGCCCTACAATCTTCAGGCCACCAACCGGACCACTGGGTTTCCAGCTGCCCCCGAAAAGTTCAAGTAGATGTAAACTATTCTTGAACACATGTATTTGCGCCATCCGCTGACAGATGTGCATCCTGCGGTCAGGCGATAAAACTCTAAACCCCGCACCCTCAAGCGCAGCCTGACAAGTAACCCTAGGGCTTCCCCTTAAGGGTTTAGGGTTTGGACTTCAGGCTCCCAAACTGCTGCTTCAGCTTTCGTCTTCCGAAATCTATCTGCAGCCACTTAACAAGCAAATGTGTGCACATTCACTAAGGGTGAAAAAGGATTTCCTTCGCCAAGCTTAGCCCCGACCATTATTCTCTCGCATTACTCCCGAAAACCCAACCTAACCAGTGGTTTTGGGGGTTCCCTTGGCTCTTTAGCTCCTTATTTAATAGGGATTATCATCATCCCTGGCTCCTTAGCTCCCATAATAACAATTGTTAGCAACTGTCTTTCTAATTCGTTATTGTCTCGCATTAAGTGTGGATCTGGTCCCCTGCTTGTCTGAACTGTACTCAAATGCTGGATGTGAGGTCCACGGGCGTTCCTAAAAGGGGATCAGTGTACTTTCACATTTGGAGTTTCTGAAGGAAAGAGAAATTTCAAATTTGTAAAGAGAAATCTCAATTCGTGGAGCTTCCAGAAAACAAGAAACCCGTGTGGATTTCTCAGAAAGAGAAAACTTCTGTGACATGAACCCCAAACCCAATGGCGTGTGACATCAACTTTGCCTGACTGCAGCACTGAACCTACACTCTTATGCTCCCGAAGTCTATCTAAATACCCAGCCTGCGTTCAAAGAAGTATACGACATCTATATCAATGTCGCACCCCGTAGATCTTTTTTAGGCCTAGTTGACTTACAAAGCATTGAGTTTCAATGGGATACCTACAGTTCTACATGTCGAAGGGGCTAGCGCCTAGCGTCTGCGAGTCAACTACTCAGCGAACCGCACTGGTTAGAACAAGAGCAGAAGCACAGAACCGTTCCAAACCCTAAACCCAAAACCCCTAAACTCCAACCCACAAACCCTAAGCCCCAAAGCAATTGAACCCCAAAGTCCCGAAAGCCCTTTTGCGATAAGCAAAAACCCATCACCGGAGGCAAACGTGGCAAAAACCGGCAAAGCCACGCCTGCTCGAGCAGCTCCGGGATGGTCGCTGGCGGGAAGCTGGCCTCGAGCTGTAAACCCTACACCCTAAACCCTAAACTCTAAACCCTAAACTCTAAACCCTAAACCCTAAACTCTAAACCCTAAACCCTAAACTCTAAACCCTAAACCCTAAACTCTAAACCCTAAACCCTAAACTCTAAACCCTAAACCCTAAACTCTAAACGGTGCAATAGAATTCCTTTCAAAAGCTCTTCGAAGGGGTCCCAAGGGGCTCTAGAATATGGGGTTTGAGGGTCTTTAAAATAAAATACAACATGAAGGCCTTCACAAAGGGAAGAGTCATTTTGGTATGTTATAGTTTATGCAGAAACCACCTGGGTCTTACTGTGAGTGTAATTCTTGAAACCCCCATGCAACAACTTTGGGTTTGCTTCCAAGGGTTTTGGGGCTTACTGAAAGCTTTGGGGAACCCTGTCGAGTGATACTAATCACTAATGATTCGTACTCCAAGATTCCATGAGGACCGCAACACATTTCGGCCAAAGCATATATAGATTTTTCATGTGGGTCAGAGGGCTTCTTCGCTTCGGAGCGCACAGGTTGGCTCTGGCTCAGACGAGCACAGGGGTTGCCGTTTACAAAACACCTGCCGGGTCAGAGGCTAGCACAATGCAAGGGCCTTAACTCATAATTACTTAGAACAAACTTTTTGTGCATATTATGGTAGTTTTCATTGGTAAACCCTGAGGTATGTATTCAGGCTATAATATGACGTAAAGGCTTAAGCCATACGTCTGACTCTTCCTGAACTCCTGCAGGCACTGAGCTCAGATGACCGGCTCCATCCCAAGATTACATGCAGGGCCTGAAAATTACGAACCAATATTTCTCAGTCCTTGAACTGATCACAATTAAACAAAGCTCACAACAAGTCACAACAACTTAAACCCGAAACCCTGAACCCGACATCCAAATCTTGGAGCGGCTGAGCAAGTAGGTTACAGGGAAGGTGTCCTTAGACAATGGTTTCTATGGCTTTTGAGCCTTCGGATTCATGGGGTTTGGGTCATACTTTGAAGATTGTGTTTCCGGATTTTTGGGTTTAAGGTGTTTGGGATATGTTCTCCTAGAGTTATCAGAGTAGCCCAGTGACTCCGATTATGGCCCACCGCCTGGCTCCCCGAATTGATTCAACAAAACTCTACGTAACCCAACAGTTCCAATAGTTTGAAACCCTATACGCCGATCTAGCAGGAGCACGACTCCACGTCAGCAAACCTCCTCATGCCTCAATGAAGCTACCACCGTGCAAGCACCACAAAACATGAAGGTTGAAAGGAACACTATGACAAACCTTGAAACTAGTCCACCTTGCTTCACTGCAGACCCTGAGCATAAAGCCCGAAGGGCCAAGACCCAAACACCAAATCCCCAAAGCCTCCGAACCTTCAGCAGGTTTTAGAGTTTGGGGCTGAGGCTTAACCTAAAACCGTCCGTGAAGCTCTGTCGCTGCTCCAAGGGCCCTGCTGTTCCATGCTTGTTCTGCCAAGCGATACTCAACAAGGGCCTCGGTTTGCGGGCTTTAGGCTGGTTTCTTCGATAACCCCAAGGGTCCAAAGGACCCGATAATGAGGTACTCGGCTTTAGGATAGTAGTTATGTAGGTTAGGATTTTGGAGAGTATATGACTATCAGGTACTTGGACCCTTGGGGTAAAGGTTGTACAGGGTTTGAGGGGAAGGATCGGTGGCTTGCAAAGGGTTTAGGGCCTCGTTGGCTTGAGGCTTTAGCTTACTCCCACAGAAATAAAAGGTCAAACTTTGCGATTCCTACTAAACTATAAGAACCCCAAAAAGTGTAAAGGTTGAGTATTGAGGATCTAAGTTACAGGTTTTGGACTATTAAGTTTGCGAGCCGCGTAGACACAGGTTTAGGTTTTTTCGGGGCTTGGGCCTTGAAGGTTTAGAGTTTAGAATTCAAGAGGTTCAAGATGGTTTACTCGTGGCTGTAGTAGCAATTATTAAAGTATTGCTAAACAACGTGAACCGCAGAAGACATGAGGACTTCGGAATGCAGTGCATCAGAAAGAACAATCTAACCGCTATTGGACAAGCTGTGTTTCATGGGTGCTGGAAAAAGGACATAATGTATTTAAACTGCCCAACCACAAGGTCTAGGAAGCTCAGTTGCCTGAACATTGAAGGTGAGCGCATGATATAGTACACAACTAAAGGCAAAACTCAGAAAACAAAAAACATATGGTGAGGGAATCCTGACACTACATACATGTTGATTCATATGATCATCTTGAACCCACTCTGCTATATCCAATAAACTCCTAGCCCGAATTCCTAAACCATTCTGCTAATGTAGGAACGTGATTAAGTAAACCTGGCCCTTTAACCCCCAACATATCAGAGTTCATATAACGAGCCCTAATAAAAACGCCCAAGGTTTCTTAATCAGGTTCCTACATTACAGCACCTATCATGCCCGGGATATAACCTTTCCATCAACACGCCCAGGACCGAGGACCTGTAATTCCTCGCAGCTCTTCGGGGGCGGACTGTTGGGCATTCTCAAGTACCGAGGATTTAGGGTTGGTTCTTGGGTTCTTGGGTGATCTTTCTTTCTCCTTTAGGTACCGCTTACGCTTCAGGGTTCGTGGACCTTTGAGTACTAGACTAAACCATCTTTCTGTCAGGGGGCCCTGATCATAGGGTCCCTGCGATCATCCCAGGGGCCCTCTTAGTCGGGGGTCTACAATCATGTGGGTGGTTGCCAAAATTAGGGCCCCCTTTTTGGGTACTCTAAATATTAGGTGCCGTACTATATTAGGGACCCAAAAAGGGACCATCATTTTGACAACCACCCATGTAGATCCCGTAGACCCGATATTAAGAAAACCCATTTCTTCCAGGGCCATCCTTGTATTAGGCTACCAGAGCTCGCCTTGGAAGCAGAGCCGAGAGTACAGCATCAACACGACGGCCGGGCACAGATGACCCTAAGCTAGAGTCCAGAATGTGTCGAGTTAGTGTGGGCTCGCATCTCCTGCATAAACCTTACGACACCCAACACATTAAACCAATGCTAGACCGTAGCATACGTTCCTGTAGGTTCCTGTGTTTATGTATATATTAGGTACGGCCCCCTTACAGTAAGAGTCTATAATAGGGCTACTATTAAGGTCCTAATATATCTATATTATAAATTCGATTCAACTATTACTGAGTGGGGGCCGTACCCAATGTATATACTCCTGACGAGCTACCAGTAGGGTTGGACCCGAATCCTCAACCTCAGCTGAACCAAGCCTAGTCTGAGCATCAGGCCGCAAGACATGGACGTATCCTGGGGTTTAGGGTTTTAGGGTTTAGGGTTATAGGGTTTAGGGGTTTAGGGTTTTAGGGTTTAGGGGTTTAGGACGTATCCTGGGTTCAACCGACGTGGTCTCGGCCACAACAAGATTTACGGCTGTGCAGCAGTTCAGAGTTCAGTCGACATGTCATTGGCCCCTCGTGGATCTTGGAACCGCACCGATACATCCAAAACGCTTCCCTGGAGGCATTGAGGAGTAGATTCTGCATGGAACTCAATAATCCTCTAAAAAACATACTCCTGACCAAGGAGTGTCCAAAGCTTGTGCCATGCCCATTGCAAACCGAACATGCAGTGAGTAGCCAACGAAACTACCAAGGAATAGTGTGCTTGAGTGGTAAGATATTGCAAGCCCTGTAGCTGATAAACATAGATCAATGAATCCCACGTCTGTCAGAACCGGAAATGCACGCTGGAGCGCATATATGAAAACTCAACAGCAAACCTTGGGCTTAGTCGAGAATCTGTCGCTTAACATTAATGTAGGAGCATGATTAAGAAACCTTGGGCCTTTCCCATGGCTCCTTATATGAATCGTACTATTTTGGGGTTATAGGCCCAGGGATTCTTAATCAGGTTCCTACATTAGTAAGGCTTTGGGTTTCGGGATTGGGGGGGCTTTCGCTTAGACTGCATCCCAGAAGCTTTTTCGCAGAGGCGTGTCGCTGTTGAGAATGTAGCTCTGGTAGTTACGCCGCGCGTGGTTGTACCAGTGGTGCATCAAGCGCTGCCTGACCAGTGGAGAACCATCAGAAGAAGGCAGGGTAAACAACTATTGCACCCGGACACCGAAAAACAGGTTGCCATGATTGCGGTTGAAGGCATCCCCGCTTCTTCTAGGCTTTAGGGTTGTCAAAGCCACACTCCAAACATGAAGCCTTCACCAAAAGGTCCTGAAACGCACAGTTCCTAGAAAAGCCAGAGACTAAGAGGGAGGGTTTCGAGGTTAGCGTTTAGGAGTTTAGGGATCGGGGAAGTTCAGGGTGCCCAACTTCTGCCTGTTGCATGTCTTCTCCGCCACTTCGCGAAGGCGACTTCGCCATTCCTCCCCGATGTAAATCACGGGGGAGAGCCTTGGAACTTGGAAATGAACTTCTAGGGGATGAGCCCACAGGGACAAGTTGGGCTTTAGCTGAGGACAAGAACTTCGGAATCATGATTTCGTCCATAGGATTCACCCATATTCCTATCGCTGAATCATGTCCTCACATAGAAAGCCTGGAACTGGTGGATAGATGGATGGCTCTGGCGCTACACAGACGGATCGAGGGTCTGTAGGTGGCACAGCACACAGACATATACCGAAGGGCAAGGTGCATGCCTTCTCGTCAGCAAGTCACGGTGCTTCTTCGCCCATATTCGTCGATCTGCTCGGCTTTAGAACAACCGGTTTAGGGTTTTAAACCCTACACCCTAAATGGGCCGGAGCCTGCTTTCCCTTTCCAGGACATCCGCACGACTGACACAACTGCAAAAGTTGCCCACCGCCCGCGGACACAAATCCTGAAATATCGGGAGCCCAGAATCTAAGAGCGGCACAGCAATCCCAGCACTGTCGGGTTATCTTCGGACCTCAACTACATGTTGGAGTATGGTTGCACTACTGACTCGGGTGAAGGTTCCGGAGACCCGGTTTGGGAGCAAGCATGATCATGGAAAAGCTGATTACGAGCATATGCGTGATGAACAGGGGCATAAGAAATAGTCTTGCTCTGCCATTACTTGCATCGAGGCAAACTTTGGAGCAATCGTCATAGACCTGGTGGTTTGAAGACCGGACACAGTGTTTTTAGAGCAGTATAATAATTGGTATACCTTTAAATCTTGAAGTGTATGAGTTCCATAAAAGCATTTTCAAGCACACCTGAGACAGCGAAGTCAGCTTCAGGCTCTGATGCCAAAGCTTCTGGAATAGAGTTGAGATACGTCTAGCCCTGGTGTACATGATAGTCTAGTTATGAGGAATTATCTAGTATAGAGGGAATGTTTAACTACCTAACTATTCAGACTTTATAGTTTCCAACCCGGGTGAAATGACAGGAGTGCATACCAAGGAGCAGCAGCTGCAGCGCGTGCCGTGCCTGCGACGGTGGACCCTGAAGAACCTATGAACCCTTCCCAGGCTGCAAACTTCCGACGTAGAGGGCACAGGACAATGCCGATTGAAAGATGCCCCGCGGCCTGTCTAAGTCCGAGACACCTCCCAAACTTGAGTTCCGGGTCAAGGTGCCTACAAACATTATGGCATCCTTGTGGCAGCCTTATTCTCTTGTGACCTTGAAACGCGATGGGACTTTAAAAGTTCTATTTAAACCACCTTCAAGGCTGGTTCCTACAAGGGCATTTTTCGCAGTTTTGGATCTTGCGGCTTATAGTTTCTGCTTGTGATACCTGGGCGCAGAATAGCCAAGGGGCCGTCATAAAAGATTCAGGTCCATTCTAGTAGGATAATGTAGGGAGGCCATTCTAGTAGGATAATGTAGGGATGAAATGGGGATTCCCTCTCACTGGCCACCCACTACAAGTTGCAGATTTCACTGCCTGTGCACGTAAAGCAAAGTCGAGACCATCAGTTGCAATCCCTTAACACCAAAAGAAAACTATTCGGATCTCCAGTTTAGAACAAATCAGGGGAATCCCTTTTGGGCTTGGGGTTTAGGGAACCAAAGGGCCCTGACCTCCCAGCCGGAGATCTCTACATCAAGGCCACCGACTGCTGCTGCGAAGTGATGTTTGAAGGTCGTGGCCTGGGGGTGTTTTTAGAGGGCTTCGTGGGTTGTCGAGAGAGGATGGATGTCTGGAAGGTAATGCATTTTATGAGAGGGTTTTGTGGGAGGTATTGAATTTCATGAGGGGTCCTTGAACCTTTAACTAAGGGTGCCACCTTTGAGATTGGGGCCGACATAACATATGGTCAGCTTTGCTATCTGATTCTGGGGGATTTTCCGCTCCCGCAAGGCGTATTCGGAGTAATGTTAACGCATCGACTTAAGTGTCACGGTCCTGAGCATGAAGACTTCTATGTTCAACACTTTGCACTAGGCACCAAAACTCAGATGTGTCAGCAGCATACCTTCGTCTATCTCCAATACTTCCAATTGATCTCGCCCGCATTTGGACACTATCCTGACAATAATATTGCCGCTTTTTGCCCTTCTGAAACCAAAAACGTGCCTTTGAAAAGTGCTCAGTACTCAGAAGACAAAGCGAATCAGAGTAATTCTTCATGAAAGGTATGAAAAAACACCGCTTGCACAGGCGGACGAGTGAAATCCTCGAAAGTTCATAGCCAAAGGCTCTATAGTAGTTCCTTTTTGGGTTTACCTTATAGGATTCAACAAACCCCGAACAGGAACGACTATGGAGCCTATGTGTCGTGAGCTTTTGTGGCTATGGGTTCTGCGGTATATGAGGGTTTCCGAAAATAGGGGACCCTAATATAGTACCTTAAATAGTAGGATCCTTATTATAAGGACCCCTAAATAAGGTACCCCCTATTTTCGGAAACTCCCATATGAACGTGTAGCGTCATGCTGTCCCTGAGCTCCTCACAGAAGACTTGAGACCGAAATAGCTGCTTCCTCGGATGACACAAAGGATAGGATCTCGGGTTAACAAACACCTACGTCTGTACCCTCAACCCTATATAAAGGGCAGATCTGGGAGTTTCCGAAATTAGGGGTACCTTATTTTGGGGTCCTTATAATAAGGATCCTACTATTTAGGGTAGTGTATTAGGGTCCCCTATTTTCGGAAACACCCATGCCCATATCTGAAGCGCAGGAGCCGCCTGCCATCCGGGCCTAGCGTCCAGTAGGGTTCGGACCCAGACCTTCCAAAACCCCTTAATTAAGGAATATACCTTAAATTATAGTAGGATCCTTAATATGATTTAAGGTATATTCCTTAATTAAGGGATTTTGGAAGGTCTGGGGAGTCTTGGGCCCCGGGGTTTAGGGCTTCGACCCTCACTCTTGCACAAGGCTTTAGGGTTTAAGGGGCTTAGGTTAGAAGCTGCCCCCACCCTGTAATAGTGACTATAAGGATTACATTAGGGCCAGAATATATTCCTACTATACGACTATTACAGGGTGGGGGCCCCTTCTAAGGTTCAGGTGCTTAGGGCTTAGGGATCCGGGGTGAAGCCAAGCAGCTGGGCTGGACGAATATGCACCTTGGTTCATGCACGACCAATGCAGGAACCCAGAGCCGCAAACTTCCTGCACTGATTCTCCTGAAGATTCAGCTACGAATATACGTATTTCCTGCAAAACTACTTGTCGCCAAGATCTAGATCGTGTCTCGGTAGTCGGGAACATCCACTAACCCGATTCTTTTTTGAGTTTTGTTCATCTCCTGCTGAGTGTTTAAGGAGGACAAGGGATTCAAAAGTGCAGGAATGATTGGAATACCTATATCTACATGAACACATATATATATATATAATGGCCTCAAAATAAGGAGATCCCAAACACGAAGGGCAGAAGGGGGATTCGGCAATGGCGAACGAATCGAGGGCGGAAGACTCAAGAAGGAATGAAGGCTAAGTAGGGTTCACGACCAAACTCTGCGATGATCGCTTCGGGAATGATCATTTTAACGTCCTCCCACAGCCTAACAAACTGAAACTAAACCCGACGCGTTGCAGGCAACATCCGATAATCACTCCCAACAGCTATACCCCAAAAACCGAAATCCTGAGTCCTAAACGGCTTAATCCCAAACCCAGCCAGCCCTGACACATCGAAGCTCAGGGCACTTGATGTCGTAGTCGGAGGCTGCGTGGGCAGTGCCTTGGTGCTCTTCGAGGGTTGTCTACAAAAGGTGTGTGTATATATGTATATGTATAAGCATATATATATGTATATATATACATATGCATATATACATATACACATATATATACACATATACATACATACATATATATATATATATATACATGCGTATGTATATATATATATACATAGAAATATATATTTACATGCCTGCGCGCGCTTTGTGTGTGTAAAGTTTTTGTATAAAGTTATATACTGTATGTTTATGTATATATATATGTACATACATATATATATATATATATATATAATATTTAATATAATGTACGCCATACCTTCGTTGCCCTTGTTGTGGGACGCTTGAAAAACACGCACTAAGGTTAGTGCCCATGGTCCGGGAGGAGATGCCAATGCCTGCCAAGCTCGTGACATTCATGTGGCGCATATCGGCACTATATCTCTGAAACCCCATAAGGGTACCATAGGGTTCTCTAGTAGGGTCCCCTTTAAGGGAACATGTCAAAGCCTGAGCCCTGGTCACACAAGCTTGGGGCTTCCAGGTACTCCTGAATCCGCAAACCGCAGAGACTGAGTGACGTGACGAAAATTTTGGGATATGTTCGGTGTTCCCAAAGCCTCTACTGAGCCCTTCAAGGCTGTTGACAAGAGCCCCTCTTTCCGCCAGGCCCAACCACCCGCAAGGAATCGATCAATACCACCCTCCTACCTTACGGGGGAGATCATGGGGATCGTACCGTTACACCCTTCAAGAACGCCCCACCTTACAGGGGATAGCGGCGATCTTAAACTTAGCGCGCTTAGAGAAAGGTGGTAAGGGGGCTTATTGATCACAGGTTTCTATTACGGTCTGACCGAGCTCTTGAGGCAGTGGGCTAGAGACGTGGTTTCAATGCATGATACAGGGGCCTTAACAGCCAATATATTGCTCCTTTACATAAGGGCTTCCTTTTTTTGTTCTTACAAGGTTTCCATTAAGGTCCTTCCTGTGGGGGACATAATTTCTAATTTGCAATGGGTTTCGGATATATACGTGTAAGACATTGTACTACTATAAAATCAAGCACCCAAAGGGGTGATGTTAGTAACTTTTCGGACCGGCATAAAATTCTATGTGATGGTCTTGGGGTGTAATTGAGGGTCACCTCTTCATTGACCCACAACTCCTGGACCGTGTAATCTCAGTCACATGCAGATATTACCCAAAAACGAAAGCCCCAAAGCCATGAAGGTCCCTTATTACCCTAAACCCTAAACCCTATATACATATATATATATATACATGTGTGTATATATATATATATATATCTTCATTTATCTTTATTTTACACTCGCACCTGCTATAACGACGCGGATCTTCTCCGAGGCTTCGATCTCCGCTATCAGCTCACACATCGCCGCAGGAATTTCTGCCGACCTCCATGCTCCGATGCAGGGCCCCTTTCTCGGTAGCCGATGCCAACTACTTTGAAAGGGACTGGGCTTCCACATCTATTCTCACCACCGACACCACCCACACCCGAAAATCGAACCCGCGCAAAGTCCCAAAGCCAAAATCTCGAGCTCACGCCGTGAACGCTTTCGAGGCCACGGTCACCAGTGCCCGTGACATCTCTGAGATTTCGGGCAGAGAGCTGGAAAGAGACTGCATCATCCGGGATAGTAAAGTCTCTGGGTATGTTGCAAGATTCTGTAAGATCGAAAGCACTCAACAAACAAACCCCCAAAGCCCAGCCTTACTTCTGCTGTAGACACGAACTAGGACCATGAAGAAACTCTTTCACGGAAGAATTCAGAACTTCCCACAGCTGCCTTGTCTTCAGCAGCGCGGAGGATGCCGATTGGCTCCTGTGCGTGACTAGTATAGGGTTCATTTCACCCTCATCGGACAGGGCTTTAGGGTTTAGGGTCGGCAACATGTGTAATCTAGTCTTTGCGGCTTCTTCAGTGTAGTAAAAATATCGAAACATACCAGGACCCCCCTTGTACCCTCAAATAGGGGTATACGGTCCCAACTAAGGGGCGTTTAGGGTTTAATAGAGGGTAGATGGAGGGTCTAGGTAGTACTGAAAACCCCCAGAGCCTTGGTCTAAGTTTGCGGTTCGAAGGGCTTTGTATTCCCTACTCAGCGCTTGGAGTTCTACAGAGCCCATGAAGGGACCACATATGAGTGGTTGTCAAAATTAAGGGTCCCCTTTTTGGGTACCCTAAATATTAGGTGCCGTATTATAATAGGGACCCAAAAAGGGACCCCAATTTTGACAACCACCCATATGAAAAGCACCTGGTCACTGTCCCCCAAAAGTCCTCAAAGCCTGAAGCGCTCAAAACCTGAGCTGGAACCTTAGCATCAGACCACGTGACTGGGCACTATACCACTAAAACCCAACAAGCGGAACCCCGTCCCTGAAAGCCAAAGCTAAAGCCCTCGAAGCCTGCAAGGCCCCGTAAAGTCCTTGACAAGGCGCTTGAAGCAGCTCCTGCGGAGCCATTCGCCTTTGACAGAGAGGGGTTTTGGGTTCTGCATTCATATAAAGAAAAGGAGCATGCAGCATAAGGGCATTGCCTCAAAGCTCGAACTATGGGATTCCTAAATGCTAAACTGCTAAACCCTAAATTCCCCAAAACGAAAATCCGAGTTAGAAGCCCTCTCATGCCGCAGGAGGGCCTCGGCAACCCTCAGGGGAACATACGCAAAACCCGCGCAAAACGACTTATTATGTCATACTAAGACAAGTATTACAAGACCCTAGAGAACACTCCGAATTAAAACCAGCAAACGATGACCGCTAAGGGCTCAAGCCCTGTTAGTACTACCGCAGAACGCGCCCTAATCTTTTGGTAAAGACACGGGCATGGCGGCCCTCTCGCGCACGCTTCGGAGCCACCTCTTCAGAAAGTTCAAGGGGTTTTGGGCTTCAGGGTTCAAGGTTGCAGTGTTTAGAGCTTTAGGACAGGGCTTTTGTGGCTGAAACGATCAGAAGAATGTCGCCTTCGGACTTTGGACTAAGGCTGGTCCCTGCAAGCTTGCAAAGATAGTAGATTTTGGGTACAGTAGGCCTTGTGGATGCAAAGCCCCTAACCCCAGCCTTTCGCTCAAGCCCGCAAGCAGACACTCCAAAAACCGAGTGGGCTGACGTGTCAGAATGCTACGATATGCCGGGAACACGTGTTGCATCCTCAACTCACGTTCAGAGCTTCGAGCTCAGATCGCTTATGGTTGATGACAGGCTTAAGAAGCTCGTAGCCCCAATCCGTGAACGATTCCCTGCAACTTCCCCAAAGCCCCAAGCCCAAAGCCCGCAGCAGCAGCAGCAGCAGCAGCAACAGCAACATGGACCATCCTCATGCAGGGGATTTATTGTACACTAGTTTTGGGGGACAGAAACGGAATTTTGTCACTAATTCTTCATATCACTCATTCTTCATAGCCTGTACTATTGTTGGTGGCGCTCAAACACTGAAACCTAATCCTACGCCCTGTCAAAGACAAGAACATGTGCTGCCTCGTCAAAGCCTCTGCATCCACCTCTTTGGGCAGCGTCCCTTCTGCATCTGCAGCCTGCACAGGTGGACAGGCAAGTGGCAGTTGAGTTTTAAGAAGGCCTAGGTGTGAAAAGCCTCGCTCGGGGAGTGGTAGCTGAGATTTTATCAGGTTCAGGTTCAAGGGCTTGCAGACTTTAGGGGTCAGGTAGTTTTCCGGCACAAAGGTTTCGAGTGATAAGGTCGGCGCCGGGCTTCCGTATTGGCTTGCCCTTCCTTGAGAAAGTAGCCCTGATCCCGACACCCCAAGCTCAAAGGATCCTGTAGGATTTGAGCCCCAAGCTCTGAATCCTTAGCCGGCCCCGAGCCCGAGCCCAAACCCTTACTTTTAAGATGCATATTCGTACATCTCCTCCTTCAGCAGCCGCGTGCCTTCAGGCGCTCTGCCTCGGAAGGTCAAAGCTTTACGCAAGGGTCGTGATTTTCGGGGTTTGAGGTTGTGCAACGAAGTGATGTCACTTTTCTGATTAAAAACAGACTGAGTCGTTCGTGAGCTTTACAGAAGCGAAGAAAAGAACATCCCCAACACAACTCCCAGCTCCGCCTCATGCAAGAACAGAACAGCACCCAGCACCCTAAACTCTGAACATTGACCCCTCTACGAAAACACGCTCTGACCCTTCCACATCGAAACTGAAGAGACCCTGATGCCAACGCCCTACCCTCTAAAGCCCTACGAACCGAAACACATAATATTTGAAGCACTATAAACCACGCAACTGTAAAGCCCTAAACCCTGAGGCCGCAAAGCATCGCAGCTCCTGCAACCCTACCTAGATGCCCAGGGGACTTAGTTAGTGGGTTGTACGTAGGGTGATAAGTACCTTACATGGCCAACCTATAACCCACTTACTAAGTCCCCTGGGCGACCAAGTAGTAAGTAGTGCCCGACGGAGCCCACATTGCGGGGGCTCCAATCCTAAACCTCAAACCCTAAATCCTAAACTCCTAAACCTCGACCCCTAAACCATCAACCCCAAGCCTTAAACCCCAAATCAGAAACCCTACACCTTATACACCCTATCATAAACCCTAAACCTTAAACCCCAGATCCGCCCCTTTCCCCTAAGGGTCCATGTACTCATATAGCATATACATTGGCCTTAAAGTACTCCCTATTGGGCCCAAAGTGTATGCTATGTGGGTACAGGTAGTAGTAGTAGTAGTAGTAGTAGTAGTAGTAGTAGTAGTAGTAGTAGTAGTAGTAGTAGTAGTAGTAGTAGTAGTAGTAGTAGTAGTAGTATGGACCCTCAGGGTTCGTCTTTTTCCAAAGCCGAGGTGCAGCGGCCGCCCGCTGCGCCTCCGTCTCGGCGAGGAGGCCCAGACCCTCGGCGAAGCTTCGAGGCCTCTTGACAAAAAGGGTTTAGGGTTTAGGGGTTTAGGGTTTAGGGGTATGGAGTTTAGGATTTAGGGTTTAGGGGTTTAAGAATTAGGGTTTAGGGAAAGGGTTTAGGTTAGGTACTGCCCCCATACAGTAAGAGTCTATCATAGGGCTACTATTAAGGTTGTAAAATATCTATATTATGAATATTATATTATTCAACTATTACTGAGTGGGGGCTGTACCCAGGGCTTAGGGTTTAGGGTATCAGAGGCCTAGGGGACTTAGTATAGGTTCCTTAAAGGGCTCCTTAAAAGGGATCTATAAGGGTTCTATAAGCGGAATAAGGGTTACTTGGGGGCCCCAGGAGACTTTCTAAGTAGGTTATATGTAGAGGTATAGAGTAGATTATAGTTATAGTATACGTCTAAGGATGGGTTTGATGGGGGGTCTTTGCAAGTTTAAACGGGGTTCCTAGAGCTCAGGGTTCAAAGTCTAATGAGAACTTTTGTAAAAGCGCCACTCAAGGATTCCTGCACTATCAAAAAGGGAGTGCCTTAAGGGTTCCCCGCACCATAGCGGCCTTTTCTGAACATGGGTTTATGGGGTGGCAAAACCAGGAGTTTGACGATGCTTTATAGAAACAGTGATCTTTAAAAGGTTACCATATGGGTTCTATAAGCATCTTATATGGGTAGAAGTTAAACAAGGTCTCCATAGTTAGGGCTCCTGTCCTTTGCAGGGTCTTATATGATTATGAGAGAACGTTAATGCGGGCTGAAATGAGGGTTTGTTAGGGCTCCGAAATGGCCCTTGTATGATCACATGGAACTGACGAGGGCTGCGCGGAGGCGATTATCACACGTCGGAGGTAGGCGGACTTTGGTCCGTTCGGTGTGGGCTAGGACTTTTGAGAAGCTACCATGGATGCTTGAATGCCTCCGGAGGATTGCGCAATAAGGCTTCTGGCAAATGCTGCATTACACAATTGTCATGTTTGAGTTGTCGCTGCGGTTCTTTTTCAAAGGTGCGGGTGCACGACCTGGCAATCAAGGAGTCGCTGACGCAGACGCAGACCCTGCCCGGCGAAAACGCCCTCAACCTGGCAAGCGGACCACCGAAATCCAAAGCACAAGCAAAAACCAATTCAAAGTTCGAAACCCAGAACTCTAAACCAACAGCTCTAAACCCTTTAACCCCCTACTCTAAGATCAAGACCAAACAACTGCCAAGTCACCTCTGGAGTCTCAGCTGCATCACCTGACATCAAAAGCATTGGGCTCTCAGTAGGCGATGAAGGCTTCTCGAGCTGCATCGCTTGTTTTTACAAGGCCCCCGTAGGGTTTCACGAGGCTCTGGTTCTGAGTATTTTATGGCAGCTCGGGCAGTCTAGAAAATAGATGCATCAACTTGCCACCCTTGAAACTAAAATCTCGTTACCTTCTTCCTAGAGCCTTCGGGTGCTAATTCGTGTTTGGGGACTCTGTGGCAGGGGTACTAGTTATACAGGCTGCCGAAATTATTTCCAGTA